TTTTGTTTTCTTTGCGCACAAAGTATTCTCGTAGCTTCATAACATTACGGTTGAACCACTGATGTTACATGGACTATTTTAATGATGTCCTTACTACTTTCTGGGTCTTGAACGCGTCAGTTGCATTGCTGTCTATTCAGGGTCAGAAAGCTCTCAGATTTCATCAAAAATATCTTAATTTGTGTTCCGAAGGTGAACGAAAGTCTTACAGTTTCGGAATGACAAGAGCCTGAGTAATTAATGACAGAATTTTCATTTTTGGCCGAACTATCCCTTTGAACATTTCTAAAGCAAATTAAATGATCTACGTGGACACATTTTTTCATGTTTTTTCACATAGCCTGAGACTGTGCCTACTCCTCTACCTGCCCAAGCAGCAGTATGTGAACCGCAGATGTGTGCATCTCCAATTGAACCAAAGACCATCTCAACCACATGCACCAGCCCTCACACCCCTGGCCCCATCAGGATCAACACCAGCTATCCAGGTACAGCACCTCGATGCCACAATACAAAATATCTTACTTCCTCAAAAATAGTCATATGAAATCCAAATCAACTATGTTTGCTTTGACGACATGAGTTTTCCTAGTTTTTCCAGGTGTACCCGTTAATCTGGTCCAGCCCCAGCTCTCCCACTTTATGATGCAGTTATTCGGCAGTCCAGTTCATCTGGGACCAGTTCCAAACCCTCTGTTCCAGCACCACACATCTCCGCTAGCTCTGAGACCAGCTGCGCGCCTGTCCGCCGGGGCAAACATCCTACCATGGCGCTCCAATTACATAGCTTGACCGGCCAGAAGTGGTGCGTTTTGTACTTTTGTCATGTTCAATAACTTTTGTTCTTTCGTTTTTTGGCTGCAACATCCCAGAAATATATCAAATGATATATAGGAAAAGCAGCAGAGGGCACGTCAAAGTGGATACATTTCTTATTCTTTTTAGCGCAATATCTCTCCAGTAGCACGCTGTTCTTTATTTTTATGTATTTGCATGTACAGTGCTGAAGTTTTGTGTGTTTTTGTTTTTTCTCTATGGACCAAACTGGCCATTTGTTTGTTTTATTTGTTATTAAGTTGCTTGTTCGGTGTTCGATTCAGATTTTTTCTTTCATCAAGAACCAAAATGTTTTATAAAAAAAAAAAAAAAAAAGAGGAGGATACACTGAAAATTGTGTCTAATTGTGTCTGTTTTGCATCTAATATCATTTTAGGTATAACAAAACAGAATACTTTTTGGAGTCCTTGTGTTTGAGCGCAAATTTTCTGGCTCGAACCGCTTTTCTGGGACTTTTCGCAAAAAAATTAGCCACTCCTGATCTGCAAAGGCAAGACAATGTCAAACAAGTTTGTCAAACAATGTCATTACAAGCTTGATTCGATTTCATACACATGTGGACATGCTACCGATGCGCTGTTCATCTTTCCGTGACCAGTGTTTTCTAGTTTTACTGGATTGTTTCTAAAAACGTGCTGCAGTGTACGAAATTCAATCAGTGGTTTCCCAACTCCCCTGTTTTGTTTTCTTTTATGTACCTTCGATCAATTCCTCCCACTGGTTTTCCGCCTTTTGGAATATTTAGTCCTCCGTGGGAGGATTGTTGCTCCACTGAGCATGTTGAAATATTAAATTACTCAAACAGGATGCCGTGTAACCAAGTGCATCTATAATGTGCCACACAAACAGTGGAGTCAAGGGAAGGGTACAGGTTGGTAGAGCTCCGCCGGTCCTGAATCTTCTTCCTTGTTTGGTCCAATTAGTGTTAATGGCATCTTAATGAGCTTTCTTCAAGGCCCTGAAGACGCCTGGTATCTTAACAAGAGCAGCTGGGGAAGCAAAAAATATTACCTCATTTAGAGAAGGTGGAAAAGAAAGCTGAATGTTGCCGAAACCAAATTAGCATTGGACACTAAGCTAATGAAGTTTAATTGAAGAAACACATTTTTCTGAGTATGGAAGCTCATTTCTGCCACATAAAAAAAAAAACGGTTTGGTCAATTTTGACTGTCATAATTATGCCTTTTCATGTCCATTTTTGTTACATAATTAAAGAAATCATGCTTTGGTAAATTATAACTGATAAGTCAATATGGCATAAAAACTTGAGGCAAAAACCTGATTTGAGAATTGTAATTGTCATAAAAATTACAATTTTATTTGTAATTTTTTTTGTCATTTATGACAGAATTTTCATTTTTGAATCAATTGAAATAACATTTTATTTAATTTTATTAATTTATTTTTAATCTCGCAATTCTGACTAAACTCACAATTATGAGTTTTTTAATAAGTGACTTTTTCTCAGAATTGCAAGATATAAACTCGCAATTCTGATTGAAAGTTATTGATTACTCATAATTTTTAATGAGATTTTAAAACATTTTCTCATCATTTTGACTTAAAATCTCAATTTCAACTTGTCAAATTTTGTATTTTTTCCCCCTCAAAATTATGACTTGAATTATAAAATTGTCATATTGCATATCACAATTTTATCTTGCATCTCACTTTTTTATCCCATAATTGCCTTTTTTGTCTCATAAATTAACTCTCATCATTTTATTTTATCTCAAACTTTAGACTTGTCAGTTGAATCTCATTTTGACTTTATCTCATAACTGACTTGTCATAATTATCACTTAGCATGTCATAATATCAACATTGTCATAATTATGACTTATCCCATAACTGACTTTTTATCTGGCTGTCATCATTTCAACTTTTCATCTCATAATATTGACATATCTCAGTTTAGGTGATGTATTTTTTACTTTTTATCTTGTGGTGAATTAGAATGTCATCATTTCGATTTATGTCATTATAACACCCCGTAATGCACTTTTTTTTTATCTAATGCTTTTGACTTTTATCTCATAGTTATGACCTGTCATGAATTGAACTTTATTTTCATAATTTTGATTTATAATAATTTACTTTATGCCATCATTTTGACTTTTTATTTTGTATCATAATTTTGAGTATCTCATAATTTTGACAATTTCGTGGATATGACTCAGTATGTGATAATTTCTATATATTTATGGCATAATTAAGACTTGAAGTCAAAAGGACCCTCCTTCAGTGTAAAGGTCTGGCAATTTTTTCAGTCATTTGAAATGATTGCTAAACAAAGAAACAAGTGATTACATTCATAAGTAGTAGGTTGATTGCATTTCCATTAGCTGTTTAGTGTTATGAAATGTAATGCATGTTAGTATTTTTCGTTATTTTAATGAAAATGAACCATAAAATCAAATCACATGCAGTCAAAAAGCAGTCCAGGCCTTTCCTCTCTCTGTTTCGTCAAGCTTATAATATGCTTTGCCACAGCTGATGAATTCTAATATCTTTTGCTAACCTCTGCCAGCTCCAATAATGGAAGTTGAACTCCATAAGCAAAACAAGGCAGTGAGTCGTTTTTTGTGGTGACACTTTTGGTTGTTAGAGCAATTCTAGTATGTCTATATTTATGTGACAGACCATACAAATTACATAAGGACTTTTCATTTCAAATCATATCTCGGCGAAAATGAACCATAAAATCAAATCACATGCAGTCAAAAAGCAGTCCAGGCCTTTCCTCTCTCTGTTTCGTCAAGCTTATAATATGCTTTGCCACAGCTGATGAATTCTAATATCTTTTGCTAACCTCTGCCAGCTCCAATAATGGAAGTTGAACTCCATAAGCAAAACAAGGCAGTGAGTCATTTTTTGTGGTGACACTTTTGGTTGTTAGAACAATGCTAGTATGTCTATATTTATGTGACAGACCATACAAATTACATAAGGACTTTTCATTTCAAATCATATCTCGGCATTCTGCCTCTATATGGAGCATCAAAACAATCATTTCTATGCCATTAGCATCACCAAATGGATTGTTTTATGATTCTTTTGTCCTTTCTGAAGCTTGAAAGCTCTTCACTGATGAACTTTGAGAGAATTTGGAGAATGACACAGTGATTTATGCCATTAGGAGAGTCTTTGTGCAAATGCAAGAGGGAAGAGAGCTCTGATACGGATTGAATTAAAGCACACTGCTGCATGGCAAATCATATTACCCTGGTTCACTGACCCACACAGACATTTTCCCTGCCAAGATGCCACTGGTTACCATAGAAACCTGTTCTACCCCTGTTAGGTTTTCCTGTGGTACTTTATGGAAAAGAGTCAAAATGTGGACTTGCTGTAGCGAAGTTATCCCTCAGCTTTTTTGAGTCAAAAATCTAATAACGCCGTGTTGTATGTTGCTCTCAAACCTTGTTTTTGTTTTGTTTTTTGTCTTCAAACATAACATTTCATACGGTTTTTTTTTTTACGGTCAAATTTTCAGCCAAGTCACCTTTTTCAAAAGCGAAATGTCCTGTTATTGTGTAATACTTCCGATTAATAGGCCACTAAATCTACGAACATGTGAGCTAACTTGTGAAACACTCCATTACGTGATATTAATGACTTGTTTATTGAATTATTGTATAGAATTTATATAATTTACAGACGTAGAAATCAAGCATAGCGTTAGTTCTGGCAGGTCACGTTAGTCAAGCTCGCATCAGCTGACCTTCAGCTGATCCCCATCTACCTATGGGAATACGACACCTATCTAAGCATTCATATATAAGGTCCCTCAGTATTATCAGCAGTTTTCGCATTGCTCAGTAGCTAATTACCCTCCTCCATCCCCAACTCCTCCTCTGTCAGTCAGGATTCAGCCTTCTGATTCTCCTTTGAATCAGACTAATTTTAAAATGTGTACATAACATTATTGAACTTTAACAATATCTGCAATACATTTATGTTAGTTCTGTTCTGTTTACCCTGGGGGGGGGGTTATCGCTGCTCTCCCTGCTCTCATCCATGCTAGGCTGCATGGATGCGCAGGAAGTTCTTGCCCAGAACAGAACCATACCGCCAATCCAAACTGTATGCTAATTGTCAATCATCTTTGACGATAGTGGTCCTGACAGAACTGAATATTGTCACCACAGCCGTGATGACGCTCGAGCTACAACACAACACAATTGTGATAGCCTACTGCTTAAAATATAAAGAAGCGGGGCATGTTTTAATCTAGTTCTTATATTATGCTTAGTGAAACTTTTTAATAAAACTTAAGTAGAAAGCGGCCACAGATCTCCTCTGCCTGACTATGAATAAGTCTCTGATCTGTATAGTGTAGGTATCCTTCATCTGAGCGCACGCGTCTCCTCCAGTCTCTCCGCGCGCAGGGAGTAACTCCTCCTTTCGCTGTTTCTCTTGTACTTGCATGGGCATTACCACAAGCTTCGTAAATCGAAACATGTAGACCGACAGATTTTAGGTCTTGAGAACAAGTTTTTAGTCCCTTTGTGTGGAAATAATTGGAGGAAAGATGGTATGATCGAGCGCTCGTCTCCAGACCTCTCTCCAAACAGGCTACAGACGTTCACTGAAGGTACGATTGGGTTTGTCTTTTCACATCCTGTTCATTTGTTTTATTTAAATTAGATGAGAAGAAACGACGAAAACTGAATTAGGCTACTTAATCCAAATGAATTTGATGGAATAATGGTAGTATTGTGATAACGACCGTATTGATCTGTGTGGGTTTTGTTTTGTATTTTTACTTTACTTTGGTAAAAAGTCTCAATTTAATTTACGTTTATTAAATTTGTTTATTAAACGTATGCTTGTTGTTCTAAACTATAGATATTGTTATAAAACGTAGATGGGCTAAAACAAAGTGACATTTAGTCATGAATCGATCAACTAGGCTATAGGCTATAAGGTTTTGTAGCTAAAAGGACAAATGTATTTTTAAATCACGTTGGGAAACAGGTTGTGCGTATAGTTATGTATTTAAAAGCTGATATGGCAACCGTTCCCCAAACGAACAATTGGCCTAGCGATTCGCGACACGAAAATATCTCAGAAAACATAGACTCCTAGTAGTTTAATTTAATAATTTGCACACTTGCCATCCACCTTTGTTTCTTTCAATACAGAAGTAAGCTGTTTTCTGTGCGAGACCTCCGATTCTAACAAAGTGCAGAAAGAATTGATAACTATGACAATAAGGTAAAATAAAAATTATACAACATACACTCTAAAAAAATGCTGGGTTAAATACAACCCAGTGCTGTGTAAAATAGGGACAAACCCAGCACGATATCACCCCGCCCCCTATTGACATTTTGGAGTGAATTTGATTGCCAATTTCCCCCAGAATGTGATTGGGCTAGTTCGAGTAGGCTAGCAATAGAGTTGGTTTTGTTATGCAGACCTGGCAACCCTGGAGCAAATGAGACTGGAAGGCTTGGAAGCCCAAGTTACAAAGGGCCACGCCCGCTTTTACGTTACAAACAAGGTGAATAGAGATATTTTCACAAAATAAATAGAATAAAAAATACATATTTTTAATGAAAAGGTGTGACAACTACAACCGAGGCTAGCTGTTTACCTTTAAGGCACTTCTGCAGAGCAAATCTTTCTCTTGTGGTTTAGCCTAACATTTTAAGGTGGTTGATAGGAATGTTATTCAAACTTAAACTCAAACCCTAAACCTAAACTTAATCCTAAACCTCATAGGAATGTTATACCAGGATCATCACAGCTTGAAAGCAGTTGGGTTTAGAGTTCTGTGCTATAGTTCATAATGTACATGAATGCACATCCCTCTTTGCACTAATCTCAGAGGAGATGTTTTCTAACAGAGATGCTGATTGCATCTGGGCTTTGTGGCCGACCAAAATGCAAATGCATTCTGTGAGGAAACACAGAAATAAGCTTTTCCAGAAGCTGTCGGATTAACTCAACCTACATACCTGACCAAAACTGCTGGTGATGGAAGAATATTGCTGTGGGAGTGCTATTCTGAATTATTTAGAAACTGGAGCTGTGATTTTGCAAAGACAATGTCTTATTTTAAAATGCTGTAGCAGCTTACAATGATGTCTCACTAGTACTTGTTAGGTTGATTGGTTTACAAGATAACCTCACTCATTTAATGCTATAGATGAAACAAATCTTTAGTTATAGAATGGTTTAGTGAATTTTGTATCAGTTTTAAAAAATAAATGATTTTTATTAAATGACTAAAACAGAAAAACTATTAAATTACCATTATTAATGTTCCTTTTTGATGGATATTTTGATTTGGGTCTAGAGTAGACAATTTTTTATTTAACTTATTTAAAATATAATAATAATTAGTATTATTATTATTGTTGTTGTTGTTGTTTATTAATCAATTAATTAATTAAAAAATTGTTGTATTATTTTTTATTCTGTATTATTTTACTAGACCGCATTATTGTGTAGAATGTTACAGCAAAAAATAAATAGAAAATTATTTAAGTAAATAAATTACTAAAAAGTGAGGGGGTTATATTCCATTCTCTGAGTTACGTGTGTCGTAACAGGATATCAGTTCTTCTAAAGGTCATTGTTTATGGGCTCTAGAGGCTGGAAATTGGTTAATGCAGTGAGCTGCGTCCCAGCCCTCTGTAGTAGAGATGAATTAAAGCCAGTTCAGAATAGAGCCAACAACTAATATGGAGAGCCAGAGATTATACCCCCAAATAACTACATTTAAGATATTTTAGGACAGCATTGTCAGTAAAATGGACTATTTTCTTTAGATTATATTTGAAACACTGCTGTTTGTAATTTTTTTTTGTTTGTTTGTTTGTTTTTCAGTGAGTTAATAATTTTATTATTTTGTAGAATGCCATTTTCTTCTCCTTTTTATTTTCTTTTTTAGTACTTATTATTATTATTATTATTATTAAATAATTATGTATTAAATTATATATATATATATATATATATATATATACATATATGAATAATATGAATAATTTTATTATTTATTATGTTATTATATTTCACTTTTTATATCTTTATAATGTATAAATATCAGATTAAATTCCAAGTTAGTATTGATATTATATTCAAAATTGTATTATTATTATTATTATTATTAAAAATAATAATAATAATAATACATCTTTTTTCATTATAATTTGTAA